CCAAAATCACTGTAAATTTTCATTTAAATAAATAAATTAATTAAAAATCCCCCAAAATACAAGTTCATTTTTAGTAAATTTAAGATTGAGTTCAAAATGAAAAGGTGCTGTTTGCCTTTGAATAGCTTTTCCACTTTTATAGACATTATGTGAAAGAATGGAACCACCCTAAAGTTTCTTGTATGCAATTTCTATTAATTTCAATCAACTGAACAGCAACAGGCTTAGTTTTTACAAGAGTCTGTTGAATCACTGGGAATGAGTCAACCTTTCAGTTTGCACCTGACTATTGTGCAAAACTCTGACCACCTTTCATTTGTGCCAATGGGGCTGTATGTATTCACTTTAACTCAATAGTATTCAACAAGACAACAACAGAAAATGAGGATGTACAAGTGTGAAATTGAGCGTAAATAATTTAGAGATTTCAAGAAACAGAATGATAGTTCAACAGCTTGAGATCTAGAGAAAGATACGACATTTAGGAAGATATCTTCACTTATTCATTCCGTTGTTGTTTTAGATTTTGTTTGATTTTGATTTTAAGAGAAAGTAAAATTTAAATATGTCCAAACACTGACTAATATGAAGTGAAGATAGAGCTAAACTTTTAAATCCCAGAAAAGAGAGAACAATTACTTAAGCCAATCCCTAATAAAGCAGAATGAAAAGCAATATAGAAGGATGAACAATAGCGTTAACTGTATTGATAGGTTGCTCTGGTGGTGTAGAGTCTGTAGGAAGTTGAGCTGCTAAACACAAATTGATGCCTCTCTGGTTGTTCAAATCCACCAGTGACATGTCAGAAGAAAGATGGGCAATTTCCTCCTGTGTGGTTTACAGCTTCTAAAATCCCACTGGAAAGTCAGCTATGAGTCAGTTGCAACTTGACAGCAATTAATTGATTGTTTATTTGATAGTGGGAAGTTTGTGTGGTTGTCATTTGATAGAGATTCTGTTTCTCTGAAAAGTTGAAGATAAGAGCATATTTTAAGACAAGAGGGAAAGTGGGTCACTTGAAGGTTTAAGGAGCAGTTTTGACATAGATGTGGTGGAAATTAGGATGGAATCTAGACTAGGAAACCATGGAAAGATTTTTCAGGTGCTACTAAAAGCTCAGGTTGCTTACATTCCATGATGTATGTTGTTGTAAACAATTGAGTTTAAGCTGACTCATAACTGATCTTCCAGAAGATTTTCAGAAGCAGTAAATCTCATGAGAGGACATTGCCCTTTTTTCTGTTGTGGATCAGCTAGTGGATTTGAATAGTGTGCCTTTTAGTAGGTTGCATAATTTCTTA